AGAAATCATAATTGATCTAATTTCAATATTAATGTTTGCGTATAGATTGAAAGAATGTACATAATACATTGAGAAAGCAAATTGGAGAAAGTAGTAAAAATGGAATTAATATTGGACTTTTCAATAGTAAATTATAATAAAAAAGCAAGCCTTAGTTAGCTCGAAGGCAGACGTTGGCACTGTGTCTGAAGGATCGGGACGGTAACCGTCTAGTCGGCAACACCGCCGACAAGACTACAACCGCAAGACCGTACAAAATCTTGTACAGAAATTAGAATGGTCTCTAGGCTCTGAATAATACACTCAAAGCAATAAATATTTCAAATTAAGCGATTCGCCATTACACTCCTCGAGCAAAATAATGACAAAGCTCGTATTTCCTCGCAATGATTTTTTTTTAATTTTATTTATTGATAATGATCGCATAAACGTCTAGGTCTTAAACAACCCCAAGCTTGTAATACAGAATCACAGTATTTACAAAAAAATTATGTTGTAGCTTACTACAATTACAGGCGGTTATTACACATTTTATTCATTTTTATGGACAGGTCAGACACTTCACCTGGAGGAAGGCATAAAATGGATATTCTTTACTGACACATAACCTGAGTTTGAAATAGTTATAGTAGTATAAACCATAGAGTTACATAAGAAAATTAAATGTAAACAAACATATCAAGGACAATAATTCATATAGTAACAAGGATTTACTCTGCTGCAGTATTCTGCAGTGATTGGGTGATATTCATGATTGTGTATGTATTGTTTATATCTTTCTTCTTGAATACTCTTTATGTGATCCCCACATGAAACTGTGACTGTTGAATTCACCTAGCACCAAATAGCGCCGGCAGTTGATTTATTAAGTGGGTCCGTTCACTAGCATTAAAGGCAAGACTGCGGAAAAGATAAACATTGCATGTAGTTATGGGCTGATTTCTATGATTAATCATGACTGCACAATATTCATGGGTGGAATTAAGGTGAAGTTCATCTACTTTATAAAATGACATTGTGTAGATGGCTACCCCACTACTAGCTATGTTTGCATCTGTTCTGTTTTTTAAACAGAAATTTTAATTTTTTAATGGTTTTGTTTGGTTGATTTTATTATTCGCTTCTTGTGGGCAGATCATATCAGGGTTATATTTAAGTTCAACGCTAACAGCGGTGGCGAGAGGTTGTGACCGCAGCGCTACCTTGTTAGTTCAGTCGGCGTCAAGCTGAGCACTCAGTGAGTTGCGAGTGCTCGTGAAGTAACCACAGTGTTTTTGAAAGTTATTCCATCCCTTTAACTAATAGGGAAATAGATAAAAGCGATTTACCGAGCTCTGACCTCGGACAGAGCATCAAAGAAGCGATGCAGGCCGTGAACAACACTACGCCCGACGCCATGCAACATTCATTGGAGTACAACAGCTTCTCATAGATAAGCAACATCAGCAAATACAGGCGCAGCAGCATCAACTTCAGGAACAGCACCAACAACTGGTACAGTTGCAACAGCAACTACAGGACCTTCAAACGCAAGTACAAAACAGCCAACGCTCTAGGTGTTCGCCCTTGCAACACAGTGCACCTGCGCCAACAGAACAAAGTGAGCGCAAAAGACAAAAAACTGGATCTGTTTCACGATATGCTATTTCTACAGGAAACACGTTCGAAACATTAAATAACGTTACAGATGAAGACGAACATATCAGTTCCGCGGAAACAGGGATTAAAATTCCTCTTATAATTATACACAAAGCGTAAAATTTTCAACTGTTAATAAATGACATTAAAAGTGTAGTCAAAGAAGATTTCACAAAAAAAATAGAAGCAGACAGAGTGAAAGTTAAACTTAATTCAATATAAGATTTCAGAGGTCTTCGTAAGTTTTGCAACAAAAACAGCATAGAATACCACTCGTTTCGTGACCCAAGCATTAAAACATTTTCAATTGTTATTACAGATATTCACACACTATAGAGTGAAACGGAAATCTTCCAAGAACTAGTAAAAAAATACCCAGTAATCAAAGTAACTCGCCTTCACGGAAAAGACAGAAAACCATTAACAAACTGTGCTGTTGATTTAGAGGACAATAACAAGTGAAGGAGCATTCTAGCCTTAGATAGATTTTTATGTAGGATTATTAAGGTATTTACCAATTCATATTAAAAACTGTTAAAGATTTTGAAACAGCCTGAAATATTTGCTAATAACGATAATATCATGCTAATAAGTGACCTTAATAGCAAACACTGGGATTGGGGTTGCAACACAACAACTCCTCAAGGGAAAAATTTACTAAATCTAGCTACCACTCTCAATTTCAGTATTCTGGCCCTAATAGAACCCACCCATTACCCTTCCAACAATAATATAATTCCTGACATATTACATATCCTCAACACAAAAAATATTGATTTCCGGCTATACCAAAAAGTAATTCCTGAATTCGATTCGGATCACAACCCAATAATCATATCACTTCATCCTCTCTATCATCTTATTATAAACAGCAAAAAAAATTAACTGGTTTAAATTCAGAGTAATTTTAAAAATTAACTACAAACATCCGCAAAACATTCAATCTGAAAAGGACTTAGATAATGAAGTGAAACATACAGTCAGCAACATACAAGGATCCCTCACAAATTCTACCACATACCTCAAAATAACAAACCCAATAAACAAGCAAACAATTCCAATAAAAATCATAAACCTAATTAAAAGTAAACACAATTTAAGACGCTATTGGCAAATGACACGACGACCAGACTTAAAAGGGAATTAAACAAACTGACGAGACTAGTTAAAACTAAACTAGACCATCATAGATATGCAAGCTTTCAGACTTTTCTAACAGAAATTCACCCATCATCTAGGAATATGTGGTCTACCATACGTAGAATAAAAAGACAAAAACAAGAATTTCCACAAATAAAACTAGGTTCAGAAGTGGCAAATTTTGAGAAAACATCTCTTATAGCTGACTACCTTGAAAAGTCGTTCAACCCAAACCCAGTCGAAAACGATCACTTTAATAACTTTTTATGGTATTTTCATGGTCCATATCATCTGGATGAATTTTATATTTGTCGCCTGAAACTCAAAATGTGGTTGAACCCTTGTTCGGACATGCCGGGTCTCAAGAAGGTCATTGTATAGCCGATTCGTATTTTCAGTTTCGTTAGCTCGACACAATAATTACTGAGTGTGTGATAATAGGACACACGTTAGAAAGAATGAGTCTTATTCTGCGTAATTAACGGTCAAATCGCTAGCGTTGGGTTACTAATTGAAATTGTTGATTTGTTGTCAACTAATTGTTTTACAGTTACCTTGGAATCGAGGTAGATACATATAGGGTTTTTTGAAATCCTTGAGACAAACCGTATAGTATGGGGATTAATAAGTTTTGCAAGTTCCTGGATGTACGTTTTTACTGATATTCTTTTTACTGAGTCAATCACAATCGTGTGTTCTTTTTTTAGGGAACATCCCTTTCTGAGCAGCTTTTAAATATCGGTTGGCATAATCCTCATTTTCATTACCAACTTGACTTGATTGTTGGATTTCACTGGTAGGGATGTCTCCTCGAACAGAAGCCATCTTTGGATGTTTGTTGGATGTACTGAGTACACCTGGGATGTTATAAGTGCGTTTTACCCACTCACTGGATTTGATTCAGTTGATGTTATTAACACGGAAGTCGACACAACACTCGGCACTTTACGGCCTTAGACTGCGTACTCCGAACTCACTTCAGCTTATTGCACTTACAGCTAGGACTTGACTCGCTGTCGTCGGAACGACACTGCCTCGCAATGTATCTAACGCTTACGTACTACACATTTACATTGTACTTAATATAGCTACAAGTTTTCGAAACTAATGTTCTACGGTTTGTAATGTTAAGTTAATTATGATTTTTTTTTGCCGGCTAGCTAATGGTGTTCCAGATACCAGGGCCTCGTTTAGTTCTCACGATTGGAGTGTTGGAGAGACATGTGGCGAACATTGGCGTACCCCCTTCACCGTAAATAGCAAACTCCGCCCGCCTGAGCATGTCTTAGGCACGCAGCTGTAGAAGCGGAAACGGTATTAAACAAAAGCTACAATTCTAATTTTAACTCGAACAGGAATTTAAGATAATTTATTGAGGTAATTAATTTCAAGGTAAACCATGTGAAGGGATTCTCAAAATATCCAACTGCCTCTAAGCAGCTCACAACACATCACTGTTCTCCAACAATTTCCACGGACCCAGTTTCACGAAGCGCAGGGACTTAGAATTTAATATTTCAATTTTCTTTCCTATTATCGAAGTTCTATTTCAAGGCTTCACACACAATTACGCAAAAAATACTCACATTTTCAAAAATTGAATATGACTTTATTTGCCGATCTGTTTCTGAAGAACACATTTCATTAAGAAAAAATATTTAAATAATTTTAGTTGTAGGAAGACGACGAAAAAATTAAACTTTTATAATTTTCGAAATATCAAACATTTTAACAAAAATGATACCGCATGAATTTCTTAAATGTCCTTCACACTCCAACAACAAAATTTAAAGAAAATCATTGGTGTTGTTTTAAAAATTTTGAAAATGTTCCAGGGGCTTCATATAAAGTACTCTCCAAAATTAAAGCATCGGATTCAAACTCAAGGGGCCGCGAGATCAGCCAGATCGGTTTGGTGATCAATTTTGAAGCAAATCGGCGGAACGGTTTATCCCTTAGGGTTGTTAGACGGATACACGTTGGTTTCTAGGCGGGCAGGCGTTGCGCCGTCAATCGAGTTTTCGCTATCAAGGACCCACAAAACCTGGATCCTAGCTTCATCACGAGTTAGATTTTCTTCTTACTTTAGCAACTGGATTTATCCACTTTTTCGTCATAAGAGTCTTAAAAGTGTTTCTGCCAAAAAAAAAGCAGTTCTTCACAGGAAACTATGTTGGAGAACCTAATACGAACGCTCCCTGAAGAGTTGTTCAGCATAGTACATTCTTCCAAGGTATTATCAGGCGGCTTATTAAAGAAAATGTGTACATTTTCAAGCTCCTCTTCTCGAACTGTACAACCGTTACGTTCCCATAGATTTTCATTATAAAATAATTTTATACTAGAAATTGTCCTACAAATTAAATACATCCCATTAGCATTATTGCGTATTAAATTATCGTACGAAACAATAGTTATCCTACAGGGTGGCAATACCGCCGATGAACCTTTCCCTTCCGAGTATGCAATCCCTGCTCCGTGTATTGTAAACAGCGGCGTCCGGGCGATATCTAGCAAATCTGTCGTCGCCTGGGTGCCGAGCTGCCAGTACTCCATGCGTCCCAGCGATAAAATGTGATCCTGGACGCTTAGTGAATGTTTATTCTGCAATAATAACATATTCCAACCAAACCATACTTTATAATTAATTTATACAATACCCTGGAAGTGTTTTAATTATTAGAAATTCTTTAAAAAATGCTAAACGAGGGCAGAAAATCAAACAGTCATGGGGTGCATCACACGCAGTGTGACATTTGTGCAACTCTATTGGAAGTATGGCAGTGCAGGGTCAACAAAACACAAAAAGATATTTATTACAGAGAACAAATAATTTTGAATGTTAAACATTTTCCCACGCGAACAAATTTATTAGAAAATTACAGCACTGTCTAGTTTTAGAATTTTGAGATATATTTATTCGCTCCTTGTTTCTCAATTAATAATTTTTTTCTACAAGTGCATAAAAAGGCAAGTACGCTAGCGGTGTATTAGGTTCGTCATTTTTTAATATCCATTAAAAAGATTGTTACCAAAAAAACTAGTCTTTTTGTATGATTTTAGAATACTTCTCTAATCATGGTACTTCGAAATACATTTCTACATTGTCCGGGGTATTAGATTTCGTTTCCCAATACAAGTTTACAAAACTTTTTGTATTATATTTTTATGCAGTTATAGAAATAATTTTGCCCATATTTCGTGTGTGAAGTGTTCGTTTCTTTCTCGATCGAGATAGAGAATTTTTCCTCGACCAGGCAAAAAATCTCTATCTTCACCGTGAAAGAAACGAAAACATTACGCATTTAAAATGAAAATAACTATTTTTTCATTACTAACGATTTGACATTGTGTTAAGTTCGTTTCTAAAAAATGGAATAAATTTTATTAACGGTAGAATATTAATCCTCATGTCCATAACAAAAAGATTATTTCTTGTTCAAACAAAAATAATTCTTTATATTCATATTTTTAAAAAAGAAAAATATTTTGTGAAAAAACAAATAAAACAACATCTATTATTCAAAATTCCAAAATATTAGCATTTATGGTTGAAAAAAGCTAAAAACGTAATGTTTTGACGCTCTAAAATGTAATATATTTATATTATAAAAAATAAATGCACACTACAAAACACTTCATTCACTTATTTCGTACATTTATTTCAACTCATCTCACGTTCTTTCCCAACAAAATAATTTCTACTCGAGTCTCGGGAAGTTTCCTGGGAAGCTGCCAAACCAATTCCAGTTGGGGGTGGGGCAGTGGTTGGATGGGTAGTAAGTAGAAAAATGTTTTCAGGCTAGAGCAAAATGGAAGTGAATAAGAAGAGGAAATTTAAAAACATCATTGCACAATTATCGCAGATTTTATTAATTTTTCTGTTGAAAATAAAAAAGGAGAAAATAATTTAATGTGTGCGACATCAAATTTATGAAACAAACGTAAAAACTGTGAGTAAATAATAGTTGTAACAGCATTAAACGAATAGTGTTGATTGATATGATTTTCTCTTATATGATTTAGAGAGGCAGATTCTGGAAACTGTACATTAGCTGTAGCTACTATAATCTAATAAGTAGTGAAAATCCATACCTGGATTATTCGTAATGAGCTAACGATATTTTGAAAAGAACATATTTTGTGGTCATAAGAGTGTAGTGAGATGACGAATATGGCATAGCAATATGCAAATATACAGATGGAAAAATGTATAAAGAACAGTGCATTGGCAGAGCTTGCATTTGCACTCAAGTGATTCATGTGAAAAGATGTCTGGCGTGATTACGGCCGCATAATGAGAATTAACAGCCTTTGAACGCAGAATGGTAGTTGAAGCTATACGTATAGAACATTCCATTTCTAAAATTGTTAAGGAATTTAATATTTCGAGATAAACAGTGTCAAGTACGAAAATATTTAATTTCAGGAATAACCTCTCACAACGGACAACGCAGCGCCCGACGACTTAATGATCGAGTGTAGCGGTGTTTGCGTAGAGTTGTCTGTCCTAACAGACAAGCAACTCTGCGTGAAATAACCGCAGAAATCAAAAGTGAAATATATGACGAACGATTCTGTTAGGCGATAGTGCGATAAAATTTGGCTTCAATGGACTATGACAGCAGAAGACCGACTCGAGTACCTTTGCAGACAGCGTGACATCGCCTCCAGCGCCTCTTTCAGGGTGGCGGCCAAATCGATTGGACCCTAAGCGACTGTAAAATCGTGGCCAGGTCTGGCGAGTTCCGATTTCAGTTGTCGAGAGCTGATGGTAGAGTTCGAGTGTAGTGTCATCCCACGAAATCGTTAACCTAAGTTGTGAACAAGGCACTGTGCAAGCTAGTGTTGACTCCTAATGGTACTGTGGTGTACTAATGGTGTATTAATGATGGGCTGTTTTTTTACATTGAATGAAGTGGGTCCTCGGGTTTAATTGAACTGATTATTTACTGGAAATGTTTATGTTAAGCATCATTGAAACATTTATAGCAATGCATGGTCTTTCCAAAGAATGATGGATTTTTTTTGGATGACTGCACAATGTCACCGGGCCACAATTGTTCGCGATTGGTTTGAAGAATATTCTGGACAATTCGAGCGAATGATTTAGCCACCCGGATAGCTCGATATGAATCCCTTGGAAAATTTATGAGGCACAATCGTGAGGCACAATCAGTTCCTCACAAAATCCTGCTCCGGCAACACTCCCGCAATTATGAACGGCTATTGACGGAGCACGGCTCAATATTTCTGCAAGGAACTTCCAACGACTTGTTGAGTCCATGCTTCATCAAATTACTGCACTTCGCCGGACAAATTGAAGTCCAACACGCTATTAGGAGGTAACCCATGACGTTTGTCATATCAGTGCATAATAATAAAATTTACCGCTGAGTGCTTGTACTTAAGGCCAAAATGAAAACTAATAATACTTCGTGTGAAGAGTAATATATTTTGGTGAGCAATAAAATAGAATGGCAAAGGAGCAAACTTACCAGTAATCAAGTCACTCTCTAATTTCTCAGAAAATAGAGCGGTGTGAAAATTCAGTTACTATAAGGTACCAATTTGACAGGTCAGGAAGCAAATTAACGTCATAAGGGGTAATGACATTGCAAAGGTACACATGAAGCCATTTACAACAATCTGTAAACGAGTACACTGACAAAATAAATGCATGGACATAACCTGCAATAATGTTGCCAGCTGTAGTCATGCAGTATCTGTCAACGCGGTCCTTTCTTACAATAATCTCTCTATATAAGGTAGTGCTCTCGCATATTTCAGTTCTCATCTCATAGCTCTAAAAAACCCGATGTCATTTTAACGGTACTTTATTTGAAAGTTTTTTGAGTAACTGTCCCGTACTTTTAGCTTAAACGCGCTTGTTTAAAGTATACAGTAACTGTAACGTCTTTTGTGACACCATTCGGCATTTAATTGATTCACTTTCAATTTTATGCTTAAGATTCCATTAGTTGCAATTTTATGTTGTTTTTTTTCTAATGTGCCTGATGTGGTCACAACAGGGACACGAAACATTGTAGCCTATTCCATATTAAACTGGATATTTAAAATGAAAGTATTACAATATTTGGTTGAGTATAATCCCATTGAAATTCAAACCTTATTTTAGAATATTATAACAAAACTTAGGAATAATAACAGAGTTATATTTAATCGTTAGGAGTTATTTAGGATGAGTTGTTTAATTAGTAAATTAGTAATATACTTAGATATTTATCAGGAATTACTTAATATAATATTTCACGCGTCGTTCTCATACAGCGCTGTGATATGGGAGTTTGAAAAGTTATTCCGAGAATTTCATTGTTGGACAAGGACATGCACGTAAGAGGGATAAAATAAAGACATTTTATTTACTTAGCCTTTATGTTACAATATCTCTATGTTCAATAAAATGGTACTGAGAACTATATTTAAGTCGGGAAGAATATATATATATATATATATATATATATATATATATATATATATTTCGAGTATATATATGCAAAAAATAATTTGACCATTTTAGGTGTTAATTTCCATAATGCTTGGTTCGTGCTCAGTGTTCGTTGTTATGCCGCCGCATACGGTGATTATAACATAAAACAAAAAAGAATCTTGGTAGATTTAATAGATTAAATGTATAGTACACATAACACACTTCATGCTTTTAAAGAACTCTAGTGAGTGGCAAGCGATGTTTGCTTCACTGGACGGTTTCGCCAAAAGCGCATAAAACGACGTAATGGCCAGTCTTGTTGACAGACGCGGCGGCAATCCTGTGTCAATGATGACACTGCAGGCGGTTTGAAATTCGCGCCCGGAAGTAACATTTAAACTCTTTAATTTTTTTTTTTTCGAAAAAAAAAGAACTGCCATTTTCATGAAAGCCAACACAGAATTTGGGGTATATTTTTTATGTTCTCACAAACAAAAATTCTCATCATTTTTCATTTATTGCCAATAAGCTTGGTAACACAGTTACTATTCAGTGCTCATCGCATTTCTAAGTATAGTTCTTGTAGCTAAAACAAGTACAGCGCCTCCTGCACGTATCCAAGACTGCCTCACACAATTGCCAAGGTCGTCCATCCACATTCCTTGGCCAGCGGCATATCCTGGTTAACTCAACTCGTCTCCACCAACCTGCAGAGACCCTACGCCGTGTGGAGGTGCCGACTCTATTGATAGACTTCTTTGATTAGCATTTTTATAACGAGAGTTTCTGGGCGTCCTGTATATGCATTCAAAAAGCGATATATTGTATGGCCTATAGTTCTGGATGATCAATTTAAATGTGTCAGTATACTTGGCTGAAAATATCGTAACAGTCGAGATTTA